CTTAATTTTAGTTCTTTTTCTCAACGTTACATTTGCAAGGTTAGAGTAAGGCTGGCACATAGAATACACTATGAAAATGTATCGTGTGGCCTTTTCAGAAGCAAAACCCATTCTCAGTCGCATCCCCTATCCACAGAGACCCCTTCTACTGGCACTGTTTGATGGTCTCTGGTGAATTTGTTTACCTCATGGCAGACTGATACAAGAATGGAGATAATGAGAGGTGGGGCGAAGGAGATGCTGGCTGGTGATTTTCCGGGTAAAAGGAGAAGTTACTCAGTATAAGGGGCAACAAAGCGGAAAAAGCAATGAAAAGAGAAAAGTGAGTTTGGTAGAAAATCTGAAATGCCATTTATTTAATTTCTTTAAAGAAATATTTGAGGGTTCTGTAATTTATATTTTCTCTAATAGATATTTATATGTTAGGTTTTTATTTGTTTGTTTTTATTTTTCTTTATTGATGGTAGTGAGAGAGAAAGGGAGAGGGAGATATAAACATTGATGAGAGAGAAACATTGATTGGCCACCTCCTGAATGCCCCCCACTGGGGATCGAGTCCACAGCCTGGACATGTGTCCTGACTGGGAATCAAACCAGTGACCTCTTGGTGCATGGGTCGATGCTCAACCACTGAGCAGCACTGGCTGGGCAGGTGTTAGGTTTTTTTTAAAATTTCAGTACTCACTAAAGCAGACATATATAATAATGGTATAAGAAGAAACTAAGACACTACTTCTGCATATTTGATCTCTCTTTTTTTAAATTTATCTTTGTTGAAAGTATTACAAATGTCTCTCCTTTTTCTCCCCCTTGACAGTCTCCTCCCCACTCTCCCCCACCTTCACCACACTGTTGTCTGTGTCCACTGGTTATGCATATATGCATCTAAGTTCACGTAAGTTCTTTGGTTTATCTCTTCCCACCCCCCCTCACCCCTCATTTTATAAATGTTTGTCTAAGCAGTCTTTCTGACATACATTTGACATACTCTCCTTTCTAAGAATAAGGTGGGGTTTTGTTGTTGTTATTTGTGTTATGGTACACAAACAAGAACTACTAGGAATCCTCAAAGCTATATCCTAAATGAGTCTTTAAGAGGATATTTCTAAAGGTCAAAGACTAAGGCGATAATTTCAAGTGTCACCTTGTCTCAAATGAGGTTTTATTGTGATGGATTATGATATAATCCATTGATATAATAAGGCACCTATTATGTTACAGGAGCAGTTGGCTAAAATAATAATTTTCTTTATGATCACAGTGATGAGTTGTCTTTCACATGTTATTGGTTTCAAAGCTATAGATGACTACAACTTGGATTTTACCGTCAAAATAAAATTTATGGGAGAAAGGTAATTGCATTCTTATGGGAGACTATGTGGACATGTGTAGTTTCCAGAGAGCGGTGACTGTTAGATCTGCGGGGTACGCATGCTTGTGGGTTATATTTAATTTTCATACAGAAAGTTTGATAAATATATATACATCAAGTAATATAAAAAGCCTTATTATAAAATCATGTGGAGCCCTATTATGACTTGTCTCAGTATGGCATATATAAGATTATATCCTAGGATTATACCCTAGAACTACACAGAGTCTCCTGTCTCCTATAATATTGACAAATAGTTTAAACAACAAAGGTTAGTTCTGTTTCATGAGAATAGTAACATTATACCACCTTTTGTGTTGAAATACCTGCTCATTATAGTTTCAACTTTTTTTTTTCCTTCACGAATCCTTGAGTTTTAGAGAAATTAAGCATTTTCTTGCAAGGTGGCATTTTGGGCGAATTTTTGCTTGTATTTCGCAATGACTTTTGGGTACCCCGAGGTGAAGAGAAATGCTTCCCAGCAGTGGCTGCAGCAGCAGAAGCTGGAATAAGGTGACAGAAGGTTCAAAAACTGCATAAAAAGCACCTTACCCGCCCCCCCCCCCCAATTCATTTCCTATTTGCAAAAACTTTCTTTGAAGCAATCAACCTCAGCGAGACAATATTAAATAGCAGGTTTTTAAAGTGATAACAGCAAGGTTGAGGTGTAATTGATGAAAGCAGAGTTTATATTTATTCAGAAGTACTTTAAAACAATCTGTGTTTAACTTGGCAAATTGTCTGTCATTAAAATGCTAATGAAATGGTAAACAGCTGCTAAGTTTTTATGCTAATGAGCTGTGGCAGTTCAGTAGCTCGAAAGCCTCGTCTTTCTTAGCATAGAGATTTGATTGGGTAAGGGAGACCATTGTGCATTCTGACCTTTGTGGATGGAGCAATCTGTTTGTCAAGTTCCATGTTTCATTCTGTTTGATTTTGGTTTGTTAGTACAAAGTGACTCTTGCCAGGACCTCAGGGGGCCATGTATTACATCGTTGTTATCAGAGCCACCATCGTGGGCTTAGAATTTTCTTTTCTTCGGCAAAATCATTATACAATTTGTTCATCAGGCAGTTTTAAATAGAATAATTCTGTAGAATGTTTATACTTTAGGCTCTTAACAATTATAATAATTGTACATTGTAAAAGGCTGTAGATCTAATGTAACAAATCTGTTTTTCAACCTAGCTAAGATTTTACAGCAAAGCTTTTAAAATAAATATTTTAGCCCGACCAGTGTGGCTCAGTGGTTGAGCCTTGACCATGCACCAGGAGGTCACCGGTTTATTCCCTGTCAGTGCACATTCCCAGGTTGTGGGCCAGACCCCCAGTGGGGGGCATGTAGGAGGTGGCCAGTCAATGTTCTCTCTCATTGATGTTTCTTTCTTTTTTTTGGTGGTATGTGCCCCTAGCGGGAACCGAACCCGGGACTCTCTGGTCCGCAGGCCGACACTCAACCACTGAGCCAAACTGGCCAGGGCGATGTTTTTATTTAAAAAATTTTTTTTTCATCGATGTTTCTATCCCTCTCTCCCTTTCCCTTCCTCTCTCTCTAAAATCAATAAAGATAAATAAATGAATGAATGAATGAATGAATAAATAAATAAAATATTTTAATAAGTGCCTTTGCAACATTTGACATATTTCTGAAATTAGCAATCAATGTAATGTTACCTAATTAGAAGAATAAGTATAATTAAATACAGGGTGCTTGCATGAATGCTGTCAGAGTACTTTGGCATCAGAAAGACAATCATTACTGTTTGATCTATACTTTTGGCTGATTCTCTTTTTGCTGAATTTACTCTATATTTCCTAATGGATGGAGCTGACCTGAAGACTTGTCATTGCAGATAAATGCTTCAGACGCCTTTCTCTTTTTTTCTGTTTGTAGGATCAATGTAAATGAGGTATGACAGTCTATTAAACATCATTGCCAATAATGTTCTGGAATGATTTGAAATATGATGCAGAGTTCATTAAGGAAATTCATTACCAAAATATCATTGAAATAGGAATTTTAATTATTCTGGGACACTGTATAGGAACATTGGTGGAAATTTTAATAGTTGGGAGCTTTTCCCATACTGTTCATTTCTCCTTGAAGTCAGAAGGGGATTACGTGCATATAATTTGTGGTCCTATCTCGGCATGCCAGGAGAAATTGTTTCCCTCATACACTGTTGGTGGTATTGTAAAATAGTTCAGCTGTTTTGGAAAACAGTCTGGAAGTTCTCAAAAGGTTAAACCATATGATTACCATAAGACCTAACAATCCCCTATTCCTCTCTTAATTATATACCTAAAGAACTAAAAACATGTACATACAAAAACTTAGAAACAAGTGTTCATAGCAGCATTATTAATAATAGCTAAAAAAGTAGAAACAACCCAGATGCCCATCAACTGATGAATGAGGAATGAAATTCTGATACATACGACAACATAGATGAACATGATGCCAAGTGAAAGAAGACAGTCACAAAAAAACTTCATATTGTATGATGTCATTTAAATCAAATGCCCAGAATAGACAAATGTATGGAAACGAGAAGTAGATTAGTGGCTGCCAGGAAATGGGGAGTGACTGCTAATGGGTATGGAGTTTCTTTTCAGGACTGTGAAATGTTCTAAAACGGTGGTGCTATTGCACAACTCTTTGAATATGCTAAAAACCATTGAAGGGTACACTTTAAGTGGTTGAGTTGTTTGGTGTGTGAATTATATCTTAATAAAGCTGTTACATTAAAAAAGAAAAGAAAAGGCATGCCGAGCCTGTCTCCCAGTGCCTCCTCACCAGCTGTTACCTGCAGCACATGGAGGCCACAGGCTAAGGAAGAAGGCTTGCTACTGGAGAGGGGTGCTTTAAATCTCCTACACATGGCGTAGGTCAGATATCTAAGGAGATGGCAGCTGACATAATTGTTAAAAGGGATGGTTGCTAAAATAATATAAGGCTCATTAGAAATAAAAGTTGAAGATAAAAATTTGAGTTCCTGTCCCAACTCCTTCCTGTCCCCCAGGACCCTGCACCGACCTAGATCATAATAACCCCTTTCAGATTTACTGTCTAAACTATCCATTTTCTACAAAGTAAAAGGCAACTTTCAGTTTGATTTATTTTAGAGAACAAATTGCATCGTAACTTTCATGCGAGCAGACAGTAGCTATGAGTCCAAGGTTCCTTACCCTTGTAAAAACCCTATTATTATCCCTGATTTGCATAAAACATGCCTGTTAATCATCCTGTAACCGTAAAGAGCATCTGGCTTCAAGAGGCTCCTCCCTGCTTCTCCTACGTGTTTGGCCAGTCAGAGACAATGGTTAGACAACAGGATGATCTCATTCTGCCCACCTGCCAGCAGGATCAGTGTACTGTGTATCTCAGCAGAGACCCAGCAGCCTTGGCCCTTGCCTTAGGGAAGCATTTTGCATCGCTGTCTTAGACCATGAGCGAGAAGACCCATTTTAACTGTGTTTTTTCCTCCTCCTGTGCCATTTGCTTACTTCCAGAGTAACTTTCTGGCTTGCAGGTTGCAGCTCAGCGGTCTCATTTTTGCACCGTAGGTTTGGGAAGGAGATGGATGTGAGCAAGAGACTGAATTTATTTCTGTTTTGTTCTTGGCAGGCAGTACATGCCACACTACTACCCTTCCTGCTCTTGTACGCACACCTACCCTGATGATGCAGCCTTCACTGGATATCAAACCATTTATGTCTTTTCCAGTGGACAGTAGTTCTGCTGTTGGACTCTTTCCCAATTTTAACACAGTGAGTAAACGCATTTCTATTTTGTGTCCTCCTTAGTTTCTTTTGTGATTAGGCAATTGGTACAGCCTGTTTCTAAACTGTGTAATTTTAGATCATATATCGGTTACCTTGTTCAGCTGTATTATGGCAGATAATGGGAGTTAGTCCAAACAATAGCCAGCATATTTATTTTACGAGTATTTCCACAGGTGACTTTTCACTTGTTGCTTTGAGCAGTTCTGATAGACTCCTCAGTGGCTTGAGAACCCATATTATTTCTGGGATGCTGTTCACATGCTCAAAAACACAATTTAGAGATATAAGCCACATTGATTTTTCCCTACTGCTGTAAAGAAAAACAATTATATGCTTTATCTCCTTGGGTACATTTTTATTTGGGAGATATTTTAGATAAAAACTCTTAGACAAACAGAATTTTTGTTTGGACTCTATTGTGGATTACATGAATCTGACTCTATTAGTAAAAAGAAAAAACTCTTTTAAATCTACATATTAGTTGTCTGTATGACACCTTGACATTCCCTTTAAAATATACGATAGCCCTGGCTGGTTTGGCTCAGCGGTTGGAGCGTCAGCCTGTGGTCCGGAGAGACCCGGGTTCGGTTCCCGCTAAGGGCACATACCTTGTTTGCAGTTTGTCCCCGGCCCTGGTTGGGTCATGCGGGAGGCAGCCACTCGATGTGTTCCTTTCACGTCAATGTTTCTCTCTCTCTCTCTCTTCCTATCTCTCCTCCCACTCTATCTGAACAAAAAATGGAAAAATGTCCTCGGATGAGGATTAAAAAAAAAAGAGTTGTTCCTAGACTCATTAAAATATCAAAGAACAATTACTTCATTTCCCCCACCTTTTTAATTCTACCTTACACTTATTGAGCATCTACTGTGTACCAGAACATCACCTCATATAACAGCCAGAGGTAGGTAGCCCGGCATGTCCTCTCTTAGCCAGAATCACACAGCTGTTTTTCTGCCTCTTTGATGACTTCCCACAGGCTGCCCTGCATGACATGACCACTGTAGCTGAGCTACACTCCTTGATAATTTTTTCTTTTTATATCACATTTTCTATGTTTCTTTTACGGTGCTTGAAATATTAGATTGTAATGATCGATTTGTATTGCTTGTATTGATTTTTCTCACTTGACTGTAAACTCTTCAAGGGCAGACCCCTTGACTTATTCATCAGGGTACCGACTATTCGAGTATCTGGCAAATAGTAAAAGCTAATGTTTGTTGACTGAATATTCGATTACTATTCCCATTCAACTGCCCCACCCCTGAAAAAATATCTGGGATGACTTTTAGGCTCACGTTAAGGGACTAAGAGGAAAAATACCAGAATATTTCTTCTCCTTCTGACCCTACCTTTTCAATCCTAATCATTTCCTAATTACCTATCCCATTCATTCTGTTTCAGGGGTAGAGGGGAAGGTAGTGAAGAGAATGAGGTGAAAAAAAATCCCCAGCCCTGGCCGGTTTGGCTCAGCAGTTAGAGTGGCAGCCCGTGGACTAGAGAGTTCTGGGTTCGGTTCCCGCTAAGGGCACGTACCTCGGTAGCAGTTTGTGCCTGGCCCTGGTTGGGTCGTGTGGGTGGCAACCACTTGATGTGTCCCTTTCATGTCGCTGTTTCTCTCTCTCTCTCCCCCTCCCACTCTATCTGAACAAAATATCAAAAAAAAAAATGTCCTCGGGTAAGGATAAAAAATAAATAAATGCAATAAATATTAGTGAATTACTTATTGTTACCCATGTTCTTCATCAGGTCAGCTGATCTTCAGTCTAATAAAAGTTATTTTGTAGGTTAACCAAGTAGAGCATGACATCCTTCAACAATAGAATTCAGCATACAATCAGTTTCTAGCCAGATTCTAAACTTATAGTAAGAGAAAAGGTTAAAAACAGTTCAGGTGATTGCATGAATTATGTCTGTTTAGTCAATAAATACAGTCATTTGGGGCATGATGGTCTACATAGGATACAGCATTATAGAAGCTGTCATAATCAAGAAAAAGAATTACATTATCAACACCACCAGACAGTGAGCATCTGAAATACTGCCAAATGTTTGCTTTTGCAAATTTAATCTTTTTTATGAAATGAAAACAGCAAGAGGATTCTTTCTCAAGGGCTGTAAATAAAATCTGCTGACAGGCCTTCTGTTGTGGCTTAGCGTTGGTAAGGTAATTAGAGGTTAGGGGATCAGCCAACTTTTTAAAGAGCACTGGCCTCGACTTACTGAAAAAAAACAATTGAATGTATTTTTCATCTTTGAGTTTTTCAGAGGCAAGTCAGACAGTACTTTTAAAAAGGCATTAAAAGGTGAGCATCTTTTCTAGTGCAGTGGAACAGCTCAGTATGATAGATCACACCTGCCCTGGTCACATTTCTCCATCAGAAGTGACCATCCCAAAGATCGTGCCATGCAGAGAGTTTGAACTCAAGCATTCCTGTTGTAGCCTCTACTGAAACACAGGTGGTATATTCCAAACATCACTGAACTCAGCTACATACTCCTTAAAACATTTAGCTGGTATTTGTATTTTGATTACTGTGCATTTGGAAGACAAATTTGTAGCTACTGCACAGGTCCAGTTGCTGTCAGGAGGCAGCGTTGATAATGTGGGTAGGCATAAATGGCTCCTGCTGTAGTTCACCTCTGTATTTTTTTTTAACACAAGTAATACATAGATACTTGTTTCAAAGATTCAAATAAAATAGTAACATTCAAAGAGCAAACAGACTTACTCCCTTTGCTAGAGAGAAGTGTTCTTCAGCAGCTGCCCTGCATCCTTCCAGCCCCCTTCCGGAGGTAGGTAGGTACATACCTGAAAGGAACACAATCACAGTTGTCTTTTTACTATTGTGATCAGATTAACACTATTCTCTAAGTTACTTTTTTTCAGTCATCAAAATGCCTTACATACATCTATCCGTTCATAAGGACTGTAAAACAAATGAAATGAATATTTTTATAAAGGGTTTTTAAGATAAAAATAGAGTGATGTAGTGGCTTATAATGATGTGTAGGGCTTATACATATATTGACTTGCCTTTTGTTTGTTTCTGTATTATATATAACAATTAACCTTATGATACATTTGAGAATATTCAAGGAATAATTTTGTAAATACTGTAGTTCTTTTTTTTTCCTTCTTGGAAGAAAATAAACTTGTAATTTTCAAACGAAAATATTTTAGGTTAAGGTGAAAATATAGCAAAGAACTACATTAAATAATCATTTTTCTCTCTATATTACATCAAAGGCATTTATTAGACAGAGAGCCCTTTGATAGTATGTGAAAAATTAAGTCATTGCAGTGGGACCCTCTATCATCTTGTAACAAAATGAATTTCTAGGATCACCGGAAGGTTTCCCATGACTTTTTTCACTAAAGTTTTAATTACTCTAATTTTTTTCCTATAGGATTTTCCATTCTAGAGTTGAACTGTACCCAATAGATTTCCTAAGGCAATTTCACAAGTCATTGTCAACCTTTTCTTAGAAAACCATTTACATCACTAATAATAATTACACTAGATTATATATTTGTGATTTTTTTATCCTTCAAAGGACTCAGACTTTAGAACACTTGAGTAGACCATGATTATCATTTCTGTTATATAGAGGAGGAAAGAGAGTTAATAAAGGAAGAACTGAGACTTGAATTAGAATCTTCTAACTTTGAAACCCATATTCTGGCTCTTCTATGTCATTAGCTCTTTTCGTCCATATCACCTCCTCCTCATTCATTGTGAAGAAAGCTCAATCAGAAGTCTTTTGTGCTCTTTTCTGGAAAAATGGTAGACAATTTTCTGCAGAATCAATGAGTAGAAAAAGGAAAGGATTTTTTTTTCTATCACCATTTATTCTCTTATACCCTCTTTTTCAAATGTATAATATGGACTTCTCTATAAACAGTATCTGTGAAGCAGAATATATTTTAAAAAGTTATAATTTGTTAGCAAATTTTAAAAGTATATTCTATTCAGTAACCCAGTTATTCTTTGAAAACCAAAGTAAATACTACTTAAATCACTTTATGTTTAATCAAGGATATTAGTAAATATAAAAAACATTTTTTTTTTTTTTTTATCCTCACCCGAGGACATTTTTCCATTTTTTACTCAGATAGAGTGGGAAGGAGAGGAGGAGAGAGAGAGAAACATCAACCTGAAAGGGACACATTGAGCGGCCGCCACCCGCATGATCCAACCAGGGCCAGGGACTGGAGCCAAGGCACATGCCCTTAGTGGGAACCGAACCCAGGTCTCTGTGGACCGCAAGCTGACGCTCTAACCACTGAGCAAAACCTGCCAGGGCTAAAAAACATTTTTAACTCATAGTTATTATCAGTAGAGTGAAAACAGTGTTCTTTGCGAATATAGCTATAAGTTTTAGAAATTCAAATTTTGCTATTTCCTTTTTTAATTTTATTAAATTTGTTGGGGTGACATTGGTTAATAGGGTCATATGATCTCACATGTACATTTCTATCATACGTGATCTGTATATGGAATTGTGTGCCTACCACCTAAAGTCATATCATCTTCTGTCACCATCTATGTGCCCCCTTTTTCCCTTTACTACCCCCTCCTTTCCTCTGGCAACCACCATACTGTTGCCTGTGTCTGTGAGTTTCAGTTATATATCCCATTGATGCGTGAAATCGTATGTCTCTCAACTTTTTCTGACTGACTTATTTCACTTAGCCTAATATTCTCAAGGTCCATTCATGTGGTCACAAGTAGCAATATTTCATCTTTTTTATAACTAAGTAGTATTCCATAGGGTATATGTACCATATCTTCTTCATACAATCCTCTATCAAAGGACCCTTTGGTTATCTCCATGTCTTGGCCACTATGAATTTACGAGGAGCAAATCATTTTTGACAAAGTATCCAAAAACACATGAAGAAAAGCAAGCCTCTTCAATAAAAGGCTTGAAGAGCCCTGTGCAAAAGGTTGAAACTAGATTATAGTTTTTCCCCATGTAAAAA